TAGCAGAGCTGGCGTGATAATAGTGCAAGATCAGCAACGTCCGCGGATATTGCACACCGAAAACCGTCGTGGCAGAGTGCAACGCTCCGTGATGTAAGCAGCTGATATGAGACACCATGCATGAGGCGCGGTGTCAGCATGTTTGAGGTACAGGGCTAGCTTTAGTTATAAGAAATAATGTTCTTAGCAGTTAGTTGACTTTTGGATATTAAACCGTTCGGAATACACGAGCTCTTGTCTTTTATTAGTGCAACAGTGCACTGTGTTAATTGAATGATAACTCCTTAGTCGGTCGAACATAATAATCACCAACGTCAGGAACTTCTTAATTTATAAGTAGATGAATACACATTTTTGTTTTTCTTTATTGAAGAACATTTGTTATAATTTTTATTTTGGAAAACAAAAATATGTGTATAACAATCATTTACAATCATCTTATGTATTTCTAATTCCTTTTCCTTCATCTTATGTATTTCTAATTGCATAAAAAGTAAAAAAAAAAACATAAAAAGTATGATGGAAGAAAATGTCGCGTGCGACAGTGATTAAAATTAAATAATAATTAAACTACATAATATTTTTGAATCAAATAAAAAGCATTATTAAGATACATCAATGCATAATATCTTAAAATTAGTCGCATTAAAATATTCCTTGACGTTTCGCTGAAATCGGTGTTTGAACTGTTCGCCGAGAAAGCGACTTCTATATATGTCGTGTGCCTTGGTTTTTTTAAATTATCTGGATAACTAACCGATCCCCAAAAGCCACCTTAGCACCAATAATAGAGCTAGTCAAGAGTTAAAACTTTCTCCTTTTGAGAAAACAAAATTATGTTTTGACATATTTCTTTTTTTACTTAGAATGCGTACGAATGTCTCATTTGACATTAGAGACATGCCCATATGTATCCTCTTTTTTTTTTTTTAATTACTTGTACATATTCTTTCATTAATTGTAATAGCTTAAGATCCTGAAAGTCATAGCTGTTCAAACCCTGTTAGCTGTAAGTTTTAACTTTAAGCTAGCATTAAATAAATAAATAAATAAATAATTAAGAAACCATAAATGTATTTAATTTGATTATTTTCATATTTGATTATTTGATCAATAATAAATTAAGGTAAACAAAATTTTCATAGAAAGTTGATATTTGTGCAAATGAAAAGAAATTCACATTTTAATTATTATTTACATTTTGAATAGAATTTATGATTTTTGTAGGATATAGTGTTTCCCTGTTGTTATTTGACCAATTGCAACCGTCAGGAAATGGATTGACAAACTTTTGAAGGACGAATTTCTCCATTTTTGGGCATTCCTAGACAATGGCCTCTCTTAAATTTTGTAAAGGTCAAATTGTTTTCCACACCTATAAACTTTGCCTGATAGGATACCCTAAAGTCCTCAATTGAATTTAAATCCGGACACTGCATAAAGAAATATTTCTTGTCTCGAAAAACGTCATGCTAATCGTGCAACATGTATTGGAGCGTTATCCTGGTGAAATTTCCAATTCTCTCTCTTGGAACAGCCGCTTTCCGGTGGTTTTGAGCATATTTTATCGGAAATTTTAAAAAGTTTGAGACGGTATTCTGATGTTTGATTAGTGCTTTAACAGTAATGTTAATGTTACAATCAGCCATGACAAGCCGAGTCGATATAGTCATATCCGTCTGTCCGTCCATCTGTATGAGCGCAAGGATCTCAGAAGGTACAAGAGCTAGAATGACCAAACTTGGTATCCAGGTTCCCCTGAGCCCTAACCAGTTCAAGTTTGTTATTTTATTCTGATACACCCCCCCATGTATCCGTATGCCAAGTTTCATCATGATTGGTCAATGCTGAAGAAAGTTATAGCCATAAATAAAATCGCAGCCCATGCCCTGCCTACAGCTCTGCCCGCAGCGCTGCCTGCAGCTGTTGTAGTTGCTGCTTTGTTTTTACTTTGGGCTGCATACATACACGCATATAAATACGCAGAGACACGATTCTGATGTAAATGTATGCGGTTAAAACTGTACAGAAACATGTCACCACTTTGTATATATGTATTGAATAATTTGTATTTAAGTAATTTATAGGAGAGGGGGGAGGAATATCAAAAACATAAATTAAACTCGTGTTGACTAGGGACTACCAAGTTTAGTTAATATGCGCACAGCTCATACGGAATTTAGTGAAAGTCGGTCGTATAGGTTATATGACAGCTATATAAATTAGTGGCCCAAACTGAACCGAACTTGGTATGCTGTCTTGAAAAACCAAAATATGCGAACAAACCAATTTTGGGGTAAATATCTTTATATTTCGAGTTTATGCCAAAGTTTGAGCAATTCAAACCAGTGTGATGTGGGGGGTTTCCCGATTTTCCGTTCGTATAATCGCCTATATCTCGGAGACTATGAGACCTAGGACACCAAATTTTATTCCAAGATGCCTTATGTGAACACACAGAAAATGTGTATTTTGGAATTTCTCTCTCTCCCCCTCTACCTCGCAAACACTGATTTTCCATAACTCCCGTATTTCTGGGAATTTCGAACTCAAATATAGCAAATATTTCCAGTTAGTGATTATGAGCCAAGTTGTATCATCATCAAGAGCTGCCCGCAGCTGTTATTATTGCCGCTGCTTTTGTGGAACTTTGTGCTGCATACATGCTTACACAGACACGGATAGACACGCATAGACATGCATACGCTCACATAGACACAATTCCTATGTAAATGTGCAATAACACACCCTTTACACCAAGCGAGGTAAAATCGATCGAAATTTTTTTTTTAACTTTCTTAATTTTTTAATTTTCTGTACAGAGTATTTCAAAGTCGGGACCTGCAACTTTAGCTTCTCCACTTGCTTATTTTTAAACTGTGTTAAATCTCAGCCATGTAAAATAGCCAAACTCTTCGAGAAGTGTGAAAACCTAAATCCCTCCCTTTCAATTTTGGTTCCGAAAATCCCATGGAACGCCAGAACAGTTGAATAGGGTTATAAATTTCATCCTTAAGGGATTTGAGGCTTGCTGCCCCTTCAACTTTATTGGATAGTTCGGAACTACCTCGAAGACAGGATATTCACGGTGGTGCAGGATGGAAAGGAGTCTAGTTTCCGGGTAATTAGAGGGGCCCACCCTCTATACTCTCTTTACACATGATATGCCCACTGACACTTTGATTCCCATGGAAGATCCGATCGCCACCTACGAAGATGTCACAGCCATCTTGGTCAGAAACAACTGCCTTTATGAAGGCAGATATATATTGCAGGAATATTTGAAGGGCTTTGAAATGTGGGCAAAGCGATGGAACATTGACAATGTTACCTACACTCTGTGCAAATTGAGCTGTCCTGGCATCTTCTTGCAGGACCAGCTACTGGATCAATCAAACAGCTACAAATATTTGGGCGTTCATTTGGACAGGCACCTCAGGTTACGGAATCTCTGCTAAATCCCAATTTTTCAAATCCGAATTCTTCAAGCCAAAACTCTTCGCCTGCTAACTATGGCCCCTGGTATATGAAAACGGCATAGAAAAGGACATGTTGGGGCAAAGTCAGAGCAATCGAAAACTATGGATTTTATTTTGCAATTATATTTTTCTATTAAATCTTCTTCTTCACAATGTCATTCAACTCCAACTTCTCAACTACTGACGCTTACCAGGGTAGCAAGCTTACAAAATATGAGCGTCGATAATGCTATCGATGTAACGTATAATAAATTCAAATTGAATTCAAAAAGATGCAATGTTCAGCGACAGGACCTTTGAGTGCAGAAAGTTGGTAACGTCCTCAATGAGCAAGCTTCACAATACATGAGGCGTCTTCGAACCCATGTAAATGTTTTAGCAAGGCGTCTACTGAAACGGCGTACTAAAGGAGGAGGTTTAATGAGAAGGAGGCTGAAGAAGTCACACCCTATTGGCCTTGCCAATAGATTTATATAAATTATGAATGTAAAATTTTAAATGAGGCTAAACTCCTAGTTTATGTTGTAGTGGTATTTAGTATATATAAGTTTAATTTAAGTTTTCGAATGCGAGGGGGAGTGAATGAAAAAATATTTATCGTTTCTCGGGCAGAATTTGGAAACCAAGTTTGGTTAGTGTAAAATACTTGAACTATTTCTTTGTTCGCAAGTATTTACTACCAGAGGCCAGCACTTTATTTAAAGCTACAGCGCATCTCTGGGCGAACAAAAGGAAACAAACTAAAGTGCCAAACTTAATATAGTTTTATTTCTGAAATTCAGTATTTACAATTTTTAACTTATACTAGTTTTTTCTTATGTACTAACCAAGTTTCTCATTTACTATTTTACTCTTTCTTATGCTCAGAACATTTTACTTATTCTAATTGTACATTTGTTGCCTTAGTTTATCCCCATCGTGTCAAGTGGTCTTTTCCCTCCATCTGTGTATTTGAAGCCTTTCTTATCTAATGCATTGCGCACCCACCCTTAACCGCTGTCGCTTCATATGCATATGCTCCATGCGGCTATTTTTATGCCGAGATGTTTAGCCTATCTACTGCCTTGCATTCCCTATGCTAACTTCTGGGCTCTTGTTCACTTTTGTGAACAGATATTCTAGCTCTTATACTTTCCGAGATCCTTGCAGATAGATGGACATGTCTAGATCGTTTCGTCTCTTCAAAAACCTAATATACTCTTTTTACCCTACGGGTATAAAAACGCTTTGAAAAAACACAACAATGAAAAGTTTCTTTTATGCAATCTTGAAGTCAATTTGCTCATCATAATAAATTAATTCGAATGAAAATCTTTTAGATTACAAATTCACTTATACTTGTAATGTAGTAAGAAGAATATTTTTTGCCGTGCTTACTAATTTAAATGAACATTTAAACCAATTACTCAATAAAATACAGCAAAAAATAAAACTTAAATTAAGGCTTATAAATTTTTGGTAGATTTTCCTCCTTAATGTATTTAAATACATTATTAATCTATGATTTGTTTTATATTATAGGCCTTCAACGACTTGTGTGAAGAACAAGGCTGGGCATTTGAAGTCGTCTCCGGGCACATAGGATGTTTAACTGCGATTGTTCCGTGGAATGCTCTGATGACTAATGACAGTTCCCTCGAGATATTTAACTTAACAATAACTCTTCGACCTTTCATACGTAAGCAAAATGGAACAACTATGTTAGAATCAATGTGGTCATCAGTGAGCAGCTCAATGCAGATGGCAGAAGAATGTATGAATCAAGTAGACGATGATGTACCTTTTCTAATTCACAACAACGCGATAATAGGACTGGAAAAGTTTGCAGAAACAATCGACAATGGTAAGCATATATATACTATTTACTAGCTTTTATTTTGCAAATGTATGTAACACAAAGAAGGAGGCGTGGTAGACCCCCCAAAGTATATATAAATATATATATCTCTATATATATAAAACAGTTTGTCCTGACTGACTGATTGGCAATCAACGCGCAGCCCAAACGTTAAGAGCTAGGAAGCTGAAATGGACACAAAATCCCTCTTATAGTGAAAGTGAGCACTAAGAAGGGGTTTCGGAAAATTCGAGCTCCAAAGGGGGGAAGCGAGCTCCAACGTATGAAAAATCTACAATTTTTATCCGATTAACTTCACTCTCACAAAGAATACAAAAAAAACTGTATACTTGGTTTTTCAATATTTTTCCTGCGGCCTGAATAATAATGATTTTCCGGTGGAAAATTCGGTAAGCGAAAAGCTATTTGCCATCAACGCACAGCCCAAACGGGAAGAGCTAGGACGCTGAAAATTGGACACATGTTGTCTTCAGTGGTGTAGGTGAAAATTGGTTTTGGAAAATTCGAACGCCAAAGGGGGGAAACGGGCTCCAACGTTTGTATGAAAAATCTACAATTTTCATCCAATTAACTTCAAACTTAGTTTGTATATTCTCAAAATACTAAAAAACTGTATACTTGATTTTCACCATTTTTCCTGGGGCATGAAAAAGGGGGGTTTTCCGTGGAAAAATTGAAACACAATCAACACCCCACAGCCCAAACGGTAAAAGTACGGACTCTGAAATTTAGGCCCAAGTATCCTGTCATAATGTAGGTGCTCACTAGGAAGGGTTTTTGGAAAATTCGAGCTCCAAAGGGGGGAAGTCGTAGTCCAAAGTTTGCTTGAAAAATCCGCATTTTTCAACCGGTCGACTTAAAACTTAGTTTCTAAAATCAAATAAAGAATACAAACAAAACTGCATACTTAGATTTTCGAAATTTGTGTTGGAGCTTGGGGTTTTATTGGGGTTTTAATATTTATTCACTATTTCAAATGAAAAGTTTGTGTTATAAATTTAGTCCGATCGATTTAAAATTTGGGTAATGTAATCTACGTAACTAAATCTACAACCTTGCATTCAAGGATTTTCAAAATATGCATTTTACAAAAGCAGGCAGAACAAACAATACAAAATATCAAACAGTTGGGGACAACTAAGTATACATACACACACATCCAAACAGCTGTTCGTGTAGTTGCGTGCAAACGATTGAAATAGCCAAAGCAAAATGTGAGACGCTAATGTGTGAATGTCCATACATATGTGCACATCTATGTACAAGTATGTACAAATGTATCTACATATGTATGTATGTACATTCGTCTTGCACTGACAGAGCAAGAAAAGTTAATTAATTGAAAATTATATAACATTTTTAAAAGTAATTTTTTCTTTGTTTAGTGCATTTGGCATTCGGGTTTTCATTAATAACTTTATGCAGCAACAACAAATATCAAATATTTGGGGACATCACATACACACACTCACACACACAACAAGCAACAGTTCGTGTCTATGTGTGCGGTTCTCTTGAAAAAGTAAAGAGAAACATACATATGTATCTATAGTATGTATGTATCCCTGTGTATGAATATAGCATGTACATTCGTATTAATGTATACATTGGGCAATCGGACACAGTTGTTTGATTGTAAAAAAAATGCTCTAAAAACAACAACTGCAAGTCATTGGCTCGCTCTTCTTCTTTCGTTGTGACCATTTAATGTTAATTGCAAAGGCAAAACGCCAAAAGTTTACAATTACCGTAGCTAGGCAACGACTGCGTAAGCGATAGTAAAGCAGAAACCGAATAACGGAGCTACGCATATTCTGCTTCGCATAGCGGGCAGATGTATGTATATGATTTGTTCTTATCTCAATAAATAATTCGATTTTATTATTTAAATATACTGCTTATTGCCTTCTAACTTCGATATTTTGATGGTATCGGTGGCTTCAACTATCGAAAGTTTTACTCTAGCTAATTGAGATGAGAATTGTCAGTGCTTTTTGATCGTGGCTCATCGCTGCACGGCATTGACACGAGTGCCGTGTTTCATATTCCGAGTTTGTGCGTGACCGTATTGACTCAATATGGCACGAAAAGACTCAAATGTGAATTTAAAATTAGGATATACCCTTATAATTATTCCCCTTTTTTGCACATAGTCTATCTTAAAACGTTGCGTTATCTCTATATATAAAACAGTTTGTCCTGTCTAATTGGTGATCAACGCACAGCCCAAACGGTAAAAGATGAAATTTGGACTCAAGTATCCTATCATAGTATCCATCATAGTGTAGGAGCACACTAAGAAAGGCTTTTGGAAAATTCTAGCTCCAAAGGGGGGAAAATGAGCTTTAAAAACGAACGTTGAACGAAATAGTTTGGCAAGAACAAAAATGTAACGGACTACTGAAAAATTTTTTGTCAAGAACAGAAAATGTTCGTTTAAATACCTTAAATGCCTTCCTACTGGTAACTTATAAGGTGAAAACATATGGGTAGGTTATGCACAAACAAAATAAATACAATTGGAAACATTATATTGAGCTGGGTTAAGGCGGGCAATACCTGCTATATATATATGGTATATATATATATATATATTTTATATATATATATATATAAGGTCAATTGATATTGACCAGCCAAAGTAGAAGGACGCTGAGTGAAATTTGAATTAAACGGATTTTGTAAAAGATTGTTATTTGCAATAAACATAAGTAACATCGTTAATGAATTAATCCAAAAACATCAGAAGTGATATTACACGCCAAATACACCGATTTTTTTTTATCCTGAACAAATACAAATTTTTACACTTACAATTGGCTGATGCAATAGCAGCAATAACTTTATAATGGACAAAGAACAAATAATTGAGTGGTTGTCTAACAACAACATAAATTTTCCTCATGGTGCAAGCTTACGACAATTGCTATTGACAACTCTAATAAATTGATAGGAGAGACGCGCAAATTGGTTGTGTCGTCAGAATTGGCCGCGGGAGTTCAAAAATTGCGGCCGTGAAAGAAGAAGAAGAGTTGATTGACGCCGCAATTCGTGTAGCTCAGAAGAAACAAATGCTGGCTGAACTTATGTCCACTCGAGAACTCCGCAGGTGACTTTGATATCGTCAAGGATTCTATTGTTCCATTCTCAGACGCTAATAATTATGACGCGCGCAAGTGGATTTTAAATTTCGAACGCACTTGCAATGATATTAATAACAATGACGCATTTAAGCTACGTTGCGTACGAACGCTGATGAAAATGAATTCAGAGCCCGAATTATTTCTGCGCGTCGATCGGTCCACTAGTTTTGATGAATTCAAGAAAAATTTTCTCAAGACTTTTGGTCATAATAATTCTGCAGCGGACATAATATTGCTTCTAAAAGAAACAAAATTCATTGCGAAGAAGGAGCAGCTGATAACAACTTGCTGAAGAATGATGAAATGGGGGGCACTAATCAATATTATGTTCCATATATAAATACCTCAGTAAAATTGATATTTGTGCAAAATTTGTTTTCGATGGTACAACTATTTCCATTCCGCTATTGTTGTTTTGAGTATGTATGTTTTATCGCTTATGCTTTGTGATGTTTTTCCATGTATTCATTTCTTATCAGCTTTTAATCTATAGTCCCGTTAGGATTTTATTGAAGACAAAACCATGCCTTTAGTAGAAAATTGATATTTGTGCAAAGTTCATCTTTTAAATTTTGACTGCGACGCGTTTATGAGTTTTGAGCAAAAAGTGATTTATTTAATAGCAATTGTATTTTTCCATTCATATAAATTTATTTTGTTACAATTGGAGTGCGTTTTTTCGACTTTTTGTTATTTTTGAACGAAAATGGCTCTCACAACCGAGTTAAGCCCCAAGGAGAAGACTCAGATTGAGACAATGTCTGAGCTTGGCGTAAAAGTTGGTGAAATAGCGAAAAGACTCCAGCGTCACCGAAATACAATTCGCAATTATTTAAAAAACCCCCAAAAATACGCCCAAAATAATCGCAAGGGAGCGGTTCCAAAAGTTGATGCGCGCACTAAGCGACATATTCGAGCGTTAGCAACGGCTAAAACTATGAGCTGCGCCCAGATAAAGGCGGAATTGAAGTTGCCAATAACTAGGCAGAGGATGCAACAGATTTGCCGAAAGGAGTTGCTCCTGAAATATGATTCCAAAGTGCGGACTCCAAAACTTTTACCCCGCCACAAGAAAGCCCGTCTTGCCTTTTACGAAAAGTATAAGTTGTGGGTGAATGAACTTAAAAAAGTAGTCTTCAGTGATGAGAAGAAGTTCAATTTGGATGGTCCAGATGGGAATCAGAAGTATTGGCGTGACCCAAGGCATCCTCGGCAGACTTGCTATAAGCGGAACCATGGTGGTGGCTCTCTCATGGTATGGGCGGCTTTTAGCGCACTTGGAAAAACCCCAATTTGCTTTGTACCCGGACGAATTGATTCAGAAATGTATGCGGATCTCCTTGAAAGCGAACTTATATCATTTGCTGAAAAGTTTCATGGCGAAGACTGGATATTTCAACAGGATAATGCTCCTATACATGTTTCAAGGTATACGAAGTCATTTCTGGAGTCGAAAAATATCCCTTTATTGGACTGGCCAGCAATAAGTCCGGACTTGAATCCTATTGAGGATCTTTGGGGCATCCTTTCCTCAAAGGTTTATGAAGGTGGAAGGCAATTTGATTCCTTACAGGAGTTAAAGAAAGCCATTGTTGAGAAGTGGGCAATCATCGACATAAGCACCCTTGAAAATCTAGTAAATTCGATGCCCCGACGATTACAATTGGTTGCAAAACAAAAGGGAGATTCAATATCTTACTAATTAAATTAATATCAGAAGCTTTGAATGTAAATAATACTTAATTTTGTTTATTTCTTTTCCATACCTTTGTTTTGCACAAATATCAACTTTCATCTAAGAAATTTTTCAAATTCACTTTTTATAAATAAAATGATTTAAAC